CAAATTTCTGCAAATATCTTTGAAATTCTTGAACTAAACGTAGACTGGCAGATAAGAGGCATTCCTTCCTGCTACTGGTGCTGCCATAAGCCAAGTGAAGGATTATTCACGCATTGTTGAACGTTGCTGCTTGAATTGAATTGATTGAATTGATTTATTTCTGCATGAAATACGCCACCAAATTAATCTGAAATACCACGAAAAAGGGAAAGAAGTGCTTAGTTTGTGATTGGAACGTGAAATGAAGGCATTAACATTAACAATAATACTTCAAGTTTGACATTATATTGCATATAAGGGCTGGGGGCAAACAAATGACTACTAATAACTAAGGAAACTCATTTAATTGGACACAATAAAGTTGAAAACATCAGAATAAGAAAATCAGAAACATCTAGATTTGATATAGTTTCACAAACAATATGTATATAATTGTATATATTTATCTTATTTATATACTTTTATACGCAATTTTATATTAACATTAAACAGAACTTAATCCAAAATACTTTCACTTTCTTGCTTTCACTATTCTTATTACTAAGACAATTTACTAGAAAAATTTGAGTCTCATTTATCGTTAATATACTTGAACTTCACTCAAGGCATTATGAGTCCACGAAACTTCTCCACCTACCACGACATCAATCACGCAAACTACGGGTATAGTTTTATTTATATATTTTTATATTTTAACATATTATATATTTATTCTTTGTAAATAAGTATTTCAGAACTGAAACAAAAAAAAGTATATTTATTTATTTTGGTTCAGCATCTTTGGGTACCTTCATATGTAAAAGTATTTCTTTTTATTTTTATTTTTATAAACACGAATTGACTTCTAAAAGTTCGCGTAGTTGGCAACTCTGAATAAATTTTTGAAAAATCCAAAACCAGCAACTGATGTGGCAGGGTATTGGAATATTTCATTTAAAAAGCATGTGAAATGAAAAAAATAAGCCTATTTAATGACAAAGAGTCAGTGTGAATCCCTCCGTCATCACATCAAGGTTTTTCGTTCCTTACGATTTTCGATAAAACCCTTAACATGTGAATATATTTAATGAGCGGCAAAAATTATATGGAAGAAATACATAATTACTCGTTGAAGTGATTCTTTTGATTCCTCTCATACTAACTCATACTAACATACTAACTTCAAAATTTGGCTCGTTATGTGAAACCTTATTAAAATTTTATTAAAGTATGTAATATTTTCACGATCAGTGGGAGTGACGAACACGTTCCTTAACTTGATAGAAACCGGACTCTCTTACGAGCAAAGAAAAATTGGTTTACCAATCGGTAAACGGTGAGAGTCCCAGAAGCATAGTTGAGGATTGCTGCTCTTGTGACGCAAAGGAAGAAAAAGTTGCGAAAAAAAGAAAAAAAACCAATGTCCTGAGAAAAAAAGGTTAATTGGTTAATAAATTCGACATACACACAATAGGTTTTCTGGTGTATTTTCCCGAAATGATGTTAAACACGATTAATGAGAGTTTAAGTAGTGTAGATCCAGCCTGGCTCCATAGCGTCCGATTAATCAAATATACTGTTAAAACCTATGTGGGTCAAATTCCATTAGTTCTGGCTGTTGTAGAAATATTAGACCAATTTTTGTTAGAACATATGTTTACTCTAGTCTTCGAGCATGTTTAGCTCGGTCGAGCAGGAATTGATGCGAGAATTTTTATCGAAAAGGCATATAATCCCATTAGCTTAAAGGCATGCTCGGTCCCCACTATATTCATATGCCCAAGAACGCAAACAAGAGTTACCTTGTAAGTACTACCTAAAAGGTTGATAAATTCTCTATATTCGACAACTGGCAACAAATTTTGTGGAGAAACTATTAAATTTTCGATAAGCACAGCTTTACGTTATGATCGCTGAATAATGGATTAATGATTTCCTTGAATATTCAGATTTGCTCGAACGCGTAATTACTCGCGAAGAATCGTGGGCTTCTAATTGAGAAAAAGGTGCCTTTGAGATAAATTCAATACTTTTTAAATAATAAAAAACAATACGGAAAAATTTTTTAACATGATTGTAAATATATATAATAAAATCAAGTGATAACAATAATAATAACCCTCTTTAATATTGACTAAGTACTTTTTATATAAAATACAATTTAGGCATTAAATCTCATTACTGTGTTAATCCTTCCAGCCCCGTAATTAAACATAAAACATTCCTAATGCATATTTATATCGTAAGTTTTTAAATATTTGAAATCCAAATACAATAAAAAACATGCAGTTTGTTTTAAAATTACTGACTATATGAAATATTTAGCAAATTAAATGTTTTATTTGCGTACAAAATATTTTATTATACGGGAAAGCCTACAATTACCGCTAATATATGAACACTAAAGCAATTTGGAATTACAACGGCACCAGAACAAATTCGACCGAACTGCTCCGACCGAAATGCTATTAAATTAACAATGGTTGATGTCATTTAAAAACCGCCGCTTATCAAGTAGGCCGCATCGACTTAAACATGGACAATTCTGGCCGCAACACCACAATTTTTAGCACATTAAAATTAATGACCAAAAATGTTGGCAAATTTCAACCGATATTTATGTAATTGTATGGGAACAACGGCATAAGCAATGGGCCAGCAATAATGCCAATATCGCATACCGACATAACCAGACCAAAGCCACTCTCCGGCACTCTCCGCCACTCTCCGCCATACCCGCGACTACTTATATTCTAATTCAATTTCCAATTGCACACGAGATGACAAACAAGGACAATAGCAATGTGTGCAAAGGACATTAATCCTTGCTGTGTACATCATAAACCATATAGAAACATACATTTACTAAAATATATAACAAGTAAATAATACATTTAATATATAATAAATAATAAAAAAATATTGTTTTCCATTTTAAAACTGAAAAATCCTCACAAAAGGACTCGTTTTTGTGAACTCCTTTTGTCATTATTTTATAGACAACAATAATCACTTTATGGAGTGCATAAATTTGGCTTAATTTACGTTGGCGAGGGAGTGGCACAATTGGGCTATAATTTGCCTGAATGTGTTTATTTGTTGTGGTTTTATTTTCGGCTTGGAATGGCAATAAAATGATGCACATGTTTGTGTAACTTCGGGCACGACTGGTGCTGAATGTATGCACTGCTCTCTGTGAATTAATGTCTGCCAAATGCTTGAACACACATTTTTCCTTTGCCTTTTATTGCTATGTTGTCTGCTATTAATTAGACATGGAGAGATGTGCTAGCAGAGCAACCCAGAAGCAATTCAGACGCCAATTATCGCAAAGTTTTGAAGAGCAAATGGATTTTTTCCGAAAAGTGGTAATAAATATGGTATACAAATGTAACATTTTGTTACAAGTGAATCTTTATTACCTTAGGTTTAATAGTTTTTCAGCTTACCACAGCATGAAATAAACCTTTCCTTTTTTCGAATAATATTCTTTCAATAATATTCTGATAAATATCGATTCTATTAATTATACAAAAAGAAGAAGGCGTTGTCTTTAACAAATATCGATAAATATTCTAAAATTATCGATTTTATTACTTATTCAATATAGGATCTGTCAACTAACTACAGCATGGATTTAAGCCTGACGTTTTATAAATATCGTTAAGTATTCTGAAAGCTATTGTTTCTACAAATTACTGAACCTACAGCTTGTCAATAAATGTCGATAAGCATTCTAAAAACTATCGATTCTAAAAATTAGTGCTCATACGGCTTATCCATAAATATCGACAAGCATTCTGCAAAATATCAATTTCATGAAATATTGCACTTACGGCTTATCCATAAATATCGACAAGCATTCTGAAAACTATCGATTTCATTCATTTTTGAATATATGGCTTGTCAATAAATATCGGTAGGCATACTGAAAACGATCGATTCTATAAATAGTTTAACATGCAGCTTGTCAATAAATTTCGACAAGCATTCTGCAAACTATCGATTCCATTCATTATTGAATATATGGATTGTCAATAAATATCGGTACGCATACTGAAAACGATCGATTCTATAAATAATTGAACATACAGCTTGTCAATAAATATCGATAAGCACACTAAAACCTATTGGCTCTGTAAATTATTAAACATGCAATTCAACAGCTTACTATAGTATATAATATAAAGATCAACTTTTTCAAAATACCGACAAGATCATCAATTCTAATATTTATTGAACACATGGCTTATTGGCATACCCTAACATAAAATCAAAATTATTCGAAATATCGATAAAAAATTCCAAAAACAAGGCATATTAGTTATCGAATGTTTGGTTTATCAACTTACAATCCTATAGAATCTGAATATGATTGATTTCATCAATTGTCAAACATAATATGTACTAGATGATGATGATGACATCTTTAATACTATAGGTTTCAATAGTTATTCAATATACAAGATGAAGGCATTATCTTTTATACATAAGGAAGAAATTTTTATAAACTGCTTCGATTTATCATATATATATTAGTAAAAAACGTTTAAATATTGCAAATCAATTTAAATTTCATATTTTTAACCCAATAAGTCCACATTGTATTTTCTATTGCATCTATTAGATAGATAGACTTATTAGATCTATTAAAACATAGACCTTCAAAAAATTAATTTACTTTACCATCGATGAACGCCTCTCCTCTCCAAAAAAGAAAAAACTGAAGGCATTGCAACAAGCAATAGATGTCTCTGAGTGGAAGTGTGACAGTGCTCTAACAGTTGTATAAATATGCACCCTCTCAACCTAACATAATATCGTATATTTATTTTGTTGTCTTTAAGAGAGAACAGTGGTCTCAAATAATTTCTGAATAATTTTTAGACAGAATGTAAAATACATTATAAAATAAATTAATAATATAATTTTAATTTGTTCTCAGTAAGCAAGTAGACACTTTTAAAAATTGACAACTTGCAATTAAAAATTTTGATTTTTAATTTAAATTCATTGTCAGAAAGAAGGTAATTTTCATAAAGTCTTTTCAGAAAAAATGTTTTTTTAAATTAAAAATGTTCTAACTTTCTATTTTTCTTGTGTGTAGTAAAATCCTTTAAAATAGGTTTCTAAATTGAAATTTACAATAAACTTTGGCATTTAAAAATCAACGAATTAAGTTTCAGTTACTTCAATGTATTCATTTCTCAGTACTTTGAGAATTTGTGGTCGGGAAATGGTTATTCCTATTCGCATAAGGCGTCTGAAACATGAGATTCCTAAGCATCTACAAGGCATACCTAAAGAGAAGTCGCCTAAGTTAGCCGCTATGATCGAGTATTACTACCACAATGCCGCCTCCAAAGCATCCGACTCACTTGTTAAGGAAATGCAAAAGTATCCTCAAATGAGCGATAAGGAGCGTGAAGAAAGGGTTAGTGCTATACTTAGACTAATCGGTACGGTTTCCACATGCCTTGAGGTGACGTTTCCAATAATTCGAAAAGATGGTAAATACGAGTTAATAACTGGTTACAGAGCTCATCACTGTCGACATCGTTTGCCTGTGAAAGGTGGTATACGATTTGCCAAAGATGTTAATGCAGATGAAGTTAAGGGTCTTAGCAGCATTATGACATTTAAAAATTCTTGTGTTAATGTACCATTTGGTGGATCGAAAGGTGGTATAACTATAGATCCTAAGACGTATAGCAGTTCGGAACTGCAAGTTATTACCCGACGTTACACAATGGAATTGCTAAAACGTAACATGATTGGCCCCGGTATTGATGTGCCCGCCCCAGATGTTAATACTGGTGCACGTGAAATGAGCTGGATGTGTGACCAGTACATGAAGACATTTGGTTATAATGATATTAATTCGTTGGCAATAGTCACTGGCAAGCCAGTACACAATGGAGGTATACGTGGGCGAGAATCAGCAACTGGTCGGGGTGTTTGGAAAGCCGCTGATATGTTTATAAATGATAAAGAATGGATGAATGCGGTTGGCATGAAGCCGGGTTGGAAAGACAAGACAGTAATTGTTCAGGGTTTTGGTAATGTCGGGTCATTTGCTGCAATATTTGTGCATGATGCTGGTGCTAAAATAATTGGTATCAAAGAGATGGATTGTTCTTTGCATGAGCCGAATGGCATTAATCCACACGAAGTTTTAGCACATAAGAATAAAACGAAAAGCATAAAAGGCTTCACAAAAGCTAAGGAATTTACTGGTGATCTACTAACAGAAAAGTGCGATATACTAATGCCATGCGCTACACAAAAGGTACTAACAAGTGATAACGCTGATAAGGTACAAGCTAAAATAATACTTGAAGGTGCAAATGGGCCTTCAACTCCTGGAGCTGATGAAATATTTTTGAAAAAGAAGATACTTGTAGTACCTGATCTGTTTTGTAATGCTGGTGGTGTTACTGTATCATATTTTGAGTATTTAAAAAATATCAACCATGTCTCCTATGGCAAGCTGACCGTGAAACGGGAGAACAGCATGATACATGAATTATTCAATTCTATGAACAAGTCGGCAAGCGAAGGTCACCAATTTATCACATTCCAGCCAAATGATAAACTGATAGCTATACGTGATTGTACATCTGAAGCCGAAATTGTTGATGCAGCCTTACAGACCGTCATGGAAACAGCAGCTATGGGTATTAAGAGCACTGCTAACGAGTATGCAACATGTCTGGACTTACGCACAGCTGCCTATATATATTCGGTGAAAAAAATATTCCATGCATTCGAAACATCGGGCATTTCACAGCAGTGAAAGAGAATGTAATAATATGTAAAAATAAAGTATTTCTTTGAATCAAACAGTTTATGTAGACGTCACTTCATCTCATGTATTCATCTAATTTAATTGTTCGGATATGTTGGAAACAAGCTTTTCATTGGTAAGTTTTAAAACCCCATTAAGGCAAAACCCCATTGATAAATGAACAAAATCGAAGCCATTAGTGAAATATGCAGTTTCTTGAAAAAATGTGCAATTTCTCAATGGCACAATACTCTGTCAAGACTTAAATCTTGGAAGACGAAGAATGTTATGTGACTGTTTCTCTTAAGTGGTATCAGAAATTTAAATATTTTTTACTATTTACTATAAATTTTTACTATTATTAAAATATCTATCATATCCTATACCTGGAGTATTGTGAGTATTTGAGTATTTCATTCAAGAGTTAATAAGAACAAATTTTATTTGATATGTGAATCTTCTTTAGCAACTTAGTCAGTCGACTTGGTCTACTTTACACATAACATTATTTTATTATATATTATACTCGCTAAATTATATTTCCCGGTAATTTATGTCATTGACATCCATGTTCTGTATTTTCTTCCTTAATTAGGAGGATAGGTGTATATACTTGTAGATACACCGGTGTCTTTTATTGTAATGTTCCCGATTTATTTTACAGTATTTTGTTTAATTTTTAATTTTTGTTTTTTTTATATTGTTTTATTTAATTTAATTTAATAATATTTTATTTTTTATTTTGTTTTATTTTCTTTTATTCATTTTATATTATTTCATTCATTTAATTTGTTTTTTTTTAATTTTATATAATATTAACAACTTTTATTTTGTTTTCTTTTATTTTAATCAATTTGATTTGATATTTTCTAATTTTATTTATTTTGATTTAATTTTAATAATTTTATTTAATTGAACTTAATTAAATTTTATTTAATTTTATTCAACTGTACATAAATTTAATTAAAACTATATAATTTTATTTTATTTTGTTTAATTTTATTTTAACTTATTTCATTTAAAATAATTCAATTTTATTTTATTTTATTTAATTTATTTTATTTTACTTTATTTTATTTGACTTTATTTTATGGTACTTAATTTTGTTTTAAGTTATTTAAATTAATTTAATTTTATTTCACTTTATTTTATTTTATTTAATTTTATTTTTTTTTTATTTTATTTTTTTTTATTTTATTTTATTTTATTTTACTTATTTTACTTATTTTATTTTATTTTATTTTATTTTATTTTATTTAATTTTACTTTGTTTTATTTTATTTTACTTAATTTTTTTTTAGTTAATTTTATTTTATTTAATTCAATCTTAATTTTTTATGCATTGTATTTAATTTACAATGATTTTATTTTTATTTTACGATTTTTTATATTATTTATCTTTATTGTATTTTGTATTTTATTGTATCTGTATTTTGTTTTAGTCTATTAATTTTTTTTTTGAATTTTACTGTATTTTTTATTGTATTTTATTTAATATTTTATAATATTATTATAATTTATTTTACTTTTTTATTATTTTTTTCAATATTTCTTTAATTTTTTGGTGTATTTTATTCCATTTTATTTTGGTTCAAATTATCTGTGACATTTACTGAAGTTAATTTAAAGAATTCTATATATTTAATCGACTTATTTTAGTTTCATAAGAAATGATGGTTCATATAACATATGTGTGTATCTCAACTTCATTGGTGGTCCTATTAAAACCATTTTTCACACCTAAATCGGAAATTTTTGTTAAAAAAATGTCTACTCAAAAAGTACTGAGAACGTAAAAGGCTTTTAGTTATTATTGTTCGTTTTTTTACTAGATTTCACGGTAAATCAATTAAAAACCGCTTTAAATCCTTATGAATTTCACGCGATTCTCCCAAACGGAAATGTGCATTAAACGCTTAAATTACACGAGTTTTGATGTGAAATTCGCGCTACCAATTACGATTGAGTGTCGCCTGCATTTATTAAAGTGCATGTCATTTTAATTAAAATGCTTTCCTGCGCCGACAACTAAAAATTTTCACTTCACTGCACTTAGTTTATCTCGGCAATGTAACGCTTTACACGTTCACACCGACAGCTCACAGCAGCCCCAATCGAGCAGCCGATATGACTGCGTTACGCAGTCATAACCAACATACCCGTGCCAGGCAACATCTGAGCATCCCAGCATCCGAGCATCGGAGCATCGAAACACGGAGCATCGGAGCATTGGAGCATCTGAGCAACGCAACTTTGAGTCCGTCATAAACAAACAATAAATTTCAAACAAACTCCAGCGAGCAAAATAATCCGAAAAAGGGAGGATATCCATGCCAAACTACAAACTACAAAGAAGGAGTGAATTAAAATTGCACAAACTAAATTAATTAGTTGCAACTTTAAACTTGGCGTACTCGTAGTTCATTTAATTCGTGGAAAAGTCTGCGCTAGCGAGGTAATTTCATGAAATTACCACAGATGCTCGATAAATTTGCCGAGCTCCCTCAAACTGGAAGCTGCTGCTGCAGTGGTTTGTTGTTTGTTGTTTGTTCCCTTGTCATTGCTTTTCACTAGCTCTTTCTCGTTGCGTTTTGTTGCTGTTGTTGTTTATGTTGTTGCATCTAGAATTGCTTCTGTTGTTGCTGTTGTTGTTGTTGTTGTTCTTGCTTTCAATTGTGCCATTCACTTAAGCCGGGCGTTTTCATGGTTCGCATTTCGCTTCATTAAAGCGAATAAATCGCATCGGGTCCTAATCGCAACATTTCAGTTTGTCTAAAATTTTATTAGTTCCATTTTTTACAGAGTTTTTTACATATTTTCTATTTACAAGATTCTTTAATGCTCTATGCAAAGAAGAGGTTGGAATTATGCACCGCATTATTCTTAGAAATGATTGTGCTGCAGTTGATTTATGCTGCGTGCAGTTGGCGTTGCTTTTTCTGGATTGGGGAGTGATTGAAGGATTTACGTGTCTGATCTGCATAATTTACTAAACCACACAAAGTTGACGCACCGTGGAGTGAAGTACTCATCGAACTAAAAATATAATTTTTTTATTTATTAGCGTAATTATTTAAAGCAGCTTCTATAGCACAAACAGCAAATATATTAGGAGGTAAGACTTCAGATACGAAATATATTTGAATGATACATATATAAGATATACCAAGAAAATCTTCATGAACATGAATTATATTTTTACTAAAATAACTTCCTAATAAAAAAAAAATTAAACATATAAGACAAATAAGTAGAAAATCCGTCATAAAAATTATTTTGCAGTAATACAAGCTAATAGGAAAAACCATTGAACTACTTTGCTCTATGACAAAAACATTTGGTTGAAGTTGCAGTAGTTCTTTTAAGCTGAAACTAGTTAATATCATATAATTTAAATTTTGTCAAAAGTGGAGGCTCTCTTTTCTCCCAGTCCCCTTACCCGCTAAGAGCAAACAAGCTTATATATGTATATAGAATTAATACATGTATGTGAAAGGCTTACCTCAGGACCAGAAGAAACCATATTGATTTTGAGAGACATGCTTTGAAGTGCAATTAACTGTTTTTTATATTAAAACTATTTTTAATAACTTTTTCCATCGGCCAACTTTTAGTTTATTAAGTGAAACATAAAAATTTAAATATAAATAATTAAGTATCATGCTGAGATTTAATGTTTATATATATAAAATATTATATGATTTATAAAGTAATACTACATACAGTATACGATAGTTGTATCCAATTTATAAGACTATAAAAAACAAATTTAAAAACAAATTTAAAAATATAATAAAAACCTATATCTATTTTAATAAGGGAAAGTAACAGTAACGTCTAATATAACTGCCGTCAAACACCATAGAACAAATTGAGTTCCATCCAAAAGCTGTCGTCCCGTTCAAACCCATGGAATACTTTTTTGTCAAATACTATTAGAAAATTGTCAAAAAAAAAAAAATTTGGATAATGTACTATATATTAGGGAAGTATTTTCTTGACAGTCTGTCAGACTGTTCATCACTAAAAGTTTACTTAGCTGGGTACATTTAGTTTATCTATGGTGGGCTATTGCGAGGCGGTGTTATGGTGTTAAAATGGGAAATAATAGTTAATTATGAGATTGAAAAGAACAGTGATTCGACAGTGGCTAATCTCTGTAACAAGCCAACTCCAAATTTAAGTTTTGTAACAAAACCCAAATTTACTTGATTATAGTATTTTGTAGGTTGTACTGATTCAGTGTTGATAAGTTTTTTAAATCATATACTTTATATATACTATACTATATATATATATATACTATATACTGTATATATATATACTATATATATATACTATACTATACACCATATATACTATAATATACTATGGTATGTACTATACATGGCGTGTTTTCAATTTTTAAATGTAAATTATTGCTTTCATAACAAAATGAAACAAACATAAAATTTTGAATATTGTTTTAGGAAATTTATGCACTGTAATTTATATATAATCCCTATTTTTATTATATCCAAGCCACTCGAAGTCTGCTAAACCGATTCCCTGAAATAATGTTCCCCCTTTACTTGGGCTTTCAATAATTTCAGCAGCTACGGTGCATGTGTGTAGTAAATGTATTGTGCTGTGATGATTAATGAGACAATTTTTATGCCTTCTTTATGACGCTTTGCTCTTGCAAGCACAAAACAAAAAAATAGACGAGACACGCCCTCCCAGATACTTCTAATGCACGTAGTAAGAAGTGTGAAAAACAGCTCAACAACTTTACAGCACCTCACCGCACCGCACCGCACCAGCACAAATCTTACTCCTCTGCAACGTATGTATAGATAGATATGTATATGATTCCATGTGCAGAGTACACATAGGCGGCGACATACGAGCTGAATGAATGTGCGGGGGACTCATACCAGAGTAAGTCAAACCGCACAAAAATTCTACTCTGCACTACGTAAGACCGAAATTTTGAAAAATTACAAGAATGCTCCCAGTAGACAAATGTAATGCTTTCAGCTGTGTGTGAGTCTCGGTTTCCCTGTGACTACACCATTTTACTG